TTTTATTTATTTATTCCTGAGAGACAGAGAGAGAGGCAGAGGGAGAAGCAGGCTCCCAAGGAGCAGGGAGCCCGATGCGGGACTCGATCCCAGGACCCTGGGATCATGACCTGAGCCGAAGGCAGACGCTTAACCATCTGAGCCACCCAGGCGCCCCAGATTTTATTTACTTTTGAGAGAGAATCCAAGCAGTCTCCCTGCTGAGCACAGAGCCCGACACGGGGCTCGATCCTATGACCCTGAGATCATGACCTGAGCCAAAATCAAGAGTCGGACGTTCAACCCACTGAGCCCCCCAGAGGCCCCAACTGTCCTTCCTTTCTGAAGCAGGAAGGACACGGGCGCAGCAATGAAGAAAAGATAAAACGCCATGAAAGGGGAGGGTGGTGCCAAGGGAAGCCACACGAGCAGCCCAAGCAAAGCGGACGGAGGAGGAGGAAAGGGGCGCCTTGAAGGAGCAGCAAGGCAAAGCTCAGCCAACCAAGGTTCCTGGACACGGCGCCGGAGAAGATTCTGTCTCTCGGCGAAGTGACGCAGGTGTCTGGGCTGGCTCTAACCGGCCACGGTGAGCCGAGAAAAGTGACAGAGGGACAGCGCGCAGTGACTGGGCTGGGCAAGCACCAGGAGAAGGCTATGCTCACACTCAGAGAGTTCTCGATGTTGATCAGCCAGCCATCAAAACGGAAAAACTGGGCGATGAGGACCAGCTGATCAGCCACGGCTCGGTATGAGCGCTCGTCCCCAGCCAGAAAGGCTTCACAGAGCTGCCCACCTTCTTTCCACTCGGTGATGAAAGTCCCTGCCAGGACGGAGAGAAACGAGGTCAGGCGAACCCAGCAGTTAGCAAAGTGTGGTTCCTGCGACAGCAGTAGCCAGGCCTGCAAGCTGCTTACACGTTCACATGCTCGGCCGCCCCGGGTCTCTGCGGAGTCAAACGCCCCGCAGGCCGAGCCCAGCAATCAGTGCTAAACAGGCCAATAAATGATTCAGGTGCGGGGGAAGAAAGCTTGAGAAGCAACCACTGCACCCACGGACCGGCCACCTGTGGCCCATGGGCCACGTCCACCCACCACCTATTTCATAAACACAGCCCATCTGTTGGCCTCTTGTTTATGGCTGCATTGTCTTCTTTATGACAGTGACCAGGTGGCCTGGTCCCTTCCAGAAGTTTGCCTTCCCCTGTCCTAACCTATCAAGGCAGCCCCAGGTGAGGAGCCCTACTCCCTCAGAAGCAGACAAAGGCCTTTTTGTCACTGGGTCACCTGGCAGGTGTGCCCACGAGTGGGTGGGAAGCGAGCCCCGGGGTCTCACCCAGCACGCAGACCCCATGCCGATGTGCAGCATTGGTCCAGCCCACGGGGGGGATAGTCACGGTGCGGTGGCTGAAGTACACAAAGATGTCGATGGACTGCCAGTGGTAGAAACAGTAGGGGGTGTGCGCCGTGGAGCCCTGAATAAACCTGCGCGAGACACAGAGCAGTCGGGACCCAGGACACGGGGACCCCGGTGAAGCTTCTCTTCAGTCCTGGCCGGCGACACAAAGGGAAGCTCACTACGCACTCGGCGCGGCATAGACACCGGGTGGAGCTAGAAGCAGGACCGCACCTTGGCCCTGAGATCAGGAAGTCTTAAGGGAAACATCTTCACCAAGCGGGGCAGGCGGTCACCACTGGACCCGACGGCTGAGCGGCTGAGCATTGGCAGCCTCAACAGACAAAGACAGGAGAAAAGCGAAGGGGCAGGGCTCATGCAAAAGCTCCAGGTGCCTGGTGTCCCCGCACTGTCCCCTGAGCAGTTTCTCCAGGACCGTCTCGTGCACGTAAGGCTGGGCTGACAACTGCGAGCTGCCCCCGAGATGTTGCCACCTGCCTCTGCCTGCCCCTTGGAGACCGGCTCCAACTAAACCTTCCCTTCTATCATCCTGTCCAAGACTGTTCTTTGGGCGTTTAATACATCTGAGCGGACCCCGCAGCCACTCTGGAGGAAGTGTCCCCTGGCTGGGAGGGACACGGGAGTGACACAGCTGGGCATCTGGAGCCGATGGGCCGAGGATGGAGTCAGAGCTGAAGGGGTCGGGTGAGGACCACAGCTCTGGGCCCAGGATTGTGAAGGGGGTGCCTGCTGCTGCACCCGCCCCGCCTAGCAGATTTCAAGGGCATGCAGTCCCCGGAAGCAAATGGTGTCAGGGCTGCCCGAGGCCCCAGCTTTCACCTGACCCATGTCCTCTTACAGGGCAGTCTGGTCCAGAGGCTCGTCTCCACCTCAGGGCTCTCTGCCACACGGCTCTCATTCTCCCTGCCTTCTTCCCCTCCATCCCCATCCCAGGCAAGGAAAACAGGCAACAGAATTAACATCGGGCCATGTCCTCGCGAAGCCTCACTTGTCATCCAGATACCCGCCCATCATGTCATGGCACAGCAAGGTCCGGGGCCTCTGGCTGCTCAGCGGGGGCTGCCGACACTCGGAGGGCTCCAAGGCCACATTGAAGCTGTCCTCCATGTCGGGCGTCCATGCCAAGAGTTCCTCCAGCGAAGAGAAGTAAAAACTGATGGGTTTGGTGGTGTCCTTGTCATAATATCTAGCTGGTCAGAGGAGGAAACAGTGAGGAACCGATGGAAAGTATGGGATCCCCAGAGATGCTCTGACAATAACTGAGAGAGAAAAACTAGACCAGGAAGCGGCGGCCCTGCCCCGAAGCCCCAGGAGTGAACACGGAGACAGCGTTCAGAGCCTCAGTCCGTCTCACCTGGCAAAGGATCCGGGGTAAAACTGACCACTTCACGAAAGACGGCTTCTTCTTGCTCCTCCTCAATTCTAAGCAGTGAGGGAGTTAAAAAAAAAAAATTTTTTTTTCAAGTAAAAGCATGAAGAAAAAGAACACTGACAAGCAAATGGACTAGGCCCCATCTAGACACGTGGAGGAGCGGGTGCTATTCTTGGACTTACATTTTTTTTTTTAATTTTTTTTTATTCTTATGTTAATCCCCATACATTACATCATTAGTTCTAGATGAAGTGTTCCATGATTCATTGTTCGTGCACAACACCCAGTGCTCCATGCAGAACGTGCCCTCCTCAATACCCACCACCAGGCCAACCCATCCTCCCACCCCCCTCCCCTCTAGAACCCTCAGTTTGTTTTTCAGAGTCCATCTTCTCTCATGGTTCGTCCACCCCTCCGATTTCCCCCGCTTCATTCCTCCCCTCCCGCTACCTTCTTCTTCTTCTTTTTTTTTCTTAACATATCTTGCATTATTTGTCTCAGAGGTACTGATCTAAGACTCAACAGTCCTGCACAATTCACAGCGCTTAACAGAGCACGTACCCTCCCCAGTGTCTATCACCCAGTCACCCCATCCCTCCCACCCCACCCTCTTGGACTTACATTTTGAAAGCAAACTATGGAAATACACATCAAACCAGAGGGACTAGTGGGCGCTGATCTGCCTATAGCAGCCTGTGTTAGGACCATGGCTGGCCCTCCGCCTGGACACACAACGGCTCCTCCTCTCCTCTAAATACAACTAGGCCCCGTACCAGCCCTCCAGATGTCACCCTGCAGAGACCAAAGTCAGACTTCACATGGTCCACAGGTTCTGCTGTGGCAAAGGGGCCAGAAAACTCACAGAACTAGAGAGTTTCGGGGCCTAAGAGAGCAGGGCCAGGCTTTCTCCCTAGTCCACGTTTCCGTGGATGTGTTCCGTGGAACCCACGCTAACTCCCCAGCTGTCGTGGAGGATTCTTAACCTTCTAACCTTCTAACACAGAGTTGGAAAATCCTGGATAAATCCAAATTAGCTTTCTTTTAAAAACAATTATTATCATTAGAACGTGAGAAGACACTGCAGCTGCCGTTTATTGGCCACGGGCTTAAAAGTGGAAATTCTCTAAATCTCCCCACATCCACGGCCACTTCCTCATAACTTTCCTAGGGGACCTTGAAACTACCTGGGTGGGTGGAGGGGATGAGACATTCAAGTCTCATGAAAGCGCAAGTACTACGGAAAATGCTTCCTTTAGAATTTCGTTCTGCACCCTGCGCTTCCCCCTTCCTTCATGATTTCTCTATCCTTCAGCTCCCCGTGCCCCAGCACCTATGAGAACACCGTCAGTAGGTACCAGACAACCTTTGCCACCTGTTATTCCTCCCTCAGGAGGGAGCGAGCCATCTCAACATTCTCATCCAAAAGCAAACATCTTCCCCACCAGCCGGCAGCCACTCCTTTGCCATCCCTGTCCAGTCTGAAACACCCCTGGTCTCACTCTTTGGGGTTTAAAACAAAGCTAGGGATGCTGTTTCCAAGAAGGCCATAGCGGTGCTGCTAACTTCCCCGCAGGTGCGCAAATGCCCCTACAAGGAACCAAGCATGGGCTCAGAAGGACGCGTCCACCCCTTTCGTGCCTCTGAGCCTTTGCCCACTCCGTTCCTTCGACTAGAACACCCTTCCTCCCGTTCGCCACATGCTCCCTAAAGACCCAGTTCAGATGTCCCCCTCCAGGCACGACCCCCTTCCGGTCCTGCAAGGGCACCAATGCCACCAGCCGGCCCCCTCCGCGTGGACCCGCGGCCGGCGGCGGAGGGCATCACCACCCCGTCTCACGGGCGAGGACGCTGAGGCTCCCGGCCCACCTCCTCCGCGGTCGCCGCCGCCCCGGCCGCCGCTCCCGCTGCTCCTCCGGGATTTTGGGCGCCCTCTTACGCGCCACCGCCCTGGTCACCGGCCCGGCCGCCTCCATCACGGTGCCGCTCCCTCCGCCGCCGCCGGCCAATCGCAGGCCTGAACCCGTCCCCGCCTCCGGCCGCCGGCCAATCACAGGCTCGGGCCCGCCCCCACCCAATGGAGGGACTGCGCGGCACGGCTGCCCCGCCCTGTCCGGTCGCGCGGACTCCCAGCCCGCACTCTGGGCTCCGCTGGGGTGGCGGGGACTTTGTAGTCGGAGGAAGGCCTGGGGGCGGGGCCGCGGCGGGGGCGGGGCCGCGGCTGCGCGGGCGCCCTGGGTTCAGAAGCTCTGTGTGTCCGTCTCCAGCAGCCCACTTTTGGAGAAGAGCAATGTCCCGAAGGTTACAATGTCGGTAAGCTGTAGCAGTTAGATCTGAGCTCGGTTCGTCTAACCCTATTCAAAGATAATTTTCAGGAAAAGGTGTAATCCTAATTCTCATTCGGATGTAAATACGGACAAGAGATAAAGACTTACTCTACTCCTTAATCAGCGAAGCTATCAGACGGATGTTAGAACCGGTTCAAAGATAATAGAAAAGGAGACCTATTTATAGATGAGGAGCATTGAAATGAATATCTAAGTTGAGGCAAAACTAGCTTTTCTGCAGGGTGGGGGTGGGGAGATCACTGAACCCCTAGAGAGACCATCTGCACGCGGTAAAAGAGACAGAGTCTGGAGTCACATAACAGCAGAAAGGACGTATGGTAGACGATGCATCGTGTTCCACTGAGGCACGGATTTTTTTTTCTACACCCCAAGTCTGTGCTGTGCAGTAACTGCAGAGTCCCCAGGCTCACAGGGCCTGAAGCCATCTCACAGATGGCCCAGTTCCCAGCACCTGGGTACAGTTCACAGTAAATGTGGAGGAAGGGGGCCTGAGCAGGGAAGAGAAGTGTAGCTGGGGCCCAATGGTGCATGAGCACCTGGCTCCCGGGGTCCCAAACAGACCAGGCTTGGCCTCTCGCCGTTGGCAAAATCCAAAGGCAGAGACAGGAGTGGTGGGGAAACGAGAAAGGAATTTATTTCAGTGAGGCGGCAGCCGGAAGACAGCGTCTCAAAGACTGTCTCCAAAGTGCTGAAAACACTTCTAGGTTTATATAAGGACAGTGTGGGACAAAGGTGGGTGGGTACGTGCCGGTGGGCAGTGAAGGTCAGGTTGATCATTGTCTTAGGGTCAATCATTGCGGGGTCTTGTGGGCTCAGGGCAGTGTTTGTGGCTTAAGGGGGTAGTTTAGGTTCCCACCTTGGGAAAGGGATACTTTGCCAGAGTTAAGGGTCTTTTGCCAGAGTTAAGAGATAAGCTGCAAGGAAGAATTTAATCAGAAAGTACAGACTGAGGTCAGAATAGAGGTGGTTGACAACCCCTTTCAGAAGCAGGAAGTCCAAGGAGGCCAGATGCAGGGCTGGGGCCCACAGGGCCAAGCTTGGGCCAGCCTGAGGCTCTCCTCCCCCAGCCACCGAAACCCCTTTGTGTAGCTGGGAGTGTCCAGCTCTGGGCTGCAGCTGCTGCCCAAGCCAAGTTGAGAGGCCTCTTTACAATGGTTGCAGACTTTGAACTTTGTGAGGCCCCAAGCTTCCATAAACCCCAAGCGTGGGGTGATGACTAAGGCTGCGGAATATGAGCTGGAGCAGGAGACAGCGGTCCATGGGGAGGACAGAGAGTGCAAAGCCCTGGGAGGTTGGCCAGGAGAAGGGGGAGCAGGGCCACGAAGCTCACTCCAGCTGTGATCAGGTGAGGCCACAAGATGTAAAGTCTTGATTTGTTCTGTACTTAACCAGCTCTTCGCAAGTGCTTACCTGCAGCTTCCTGATTACATAAATAAACTTTTCATCCCAACAATCAAAATGTAGTTCTTAGGGATATACTAAACAGCCCTTAGGTAATGCTCAGTCTCTGGGGGAAAAAATATGCCCGGGTCTCTCTCTTCTGTTCGTCTGCACAGCATTGGCCTCTGGTCTAGGGGGACCGGGAAGAGCGGGTCCTGTGGCCTGTGTGTTGGCTCCTGCTTGCTGCCTTCCTGGCAGACCCCTGTGGCTCCTGGTCTCCGTGGGGATCAGGACGAGCCTGGAGGCCCGCACATCTGCCTTGAGGTCACATTGGTCCCTGCTGGGGCTCCAGTCCCCTCTGACATCTGGCTGGGCCCTCTAAAACCTTAACCTTGTAAGATTTCCAGATAAAATCCAGGACGTGCTCCCCTGCACATGGCCTGCCTGTGTGGCTCCGTCCGTGGCCTCGCGCCCACTGCGTGACAATACGTGGAGTGCCTGTCCTCGCCCGGTCCCTACACGCACATTACCTGCATTTTCTCCCTCTAGGAATGTAGAGTGCTGCAGATAAAGCTAATGTCCCTTTCAACCCACTGCCCTGCTGGTTTCCCTGCCTTCTGTCCCTCAGAAATGCCCCTGTGTTTCACCAGTTTCATCAGTCGGGCCTGTATCCTTACAGATGTTGTAAATCCTTTCACACACATGTATGCACCTGGAACATGGTGTGTGGCTTATAAAAATAGTATCATGCTGTACAGATTACTCCATGTCTTGCTTCCCCCCACCCCGCCATATTTTTTAAATCAAGCCATGCTGATTTATGTGGCTCTAACACGTTCATTTTTGCTGTTGTTAAATAACGTTGCCTCTTCAACACACCAGCGTCTGCTTACCCCTCCACCCATCAGCAGACATTTCCACAGCAAGCTTGTGTTTGCTTTCGTTTTTTTAAATGTTAAAAGGAATGTCTTCGTATAAACCTTCTTGGGCACGCAGAGGGTTTTTGTTTTTGTTTTTGTTTTTTCTTTTTCAGATACAAACACAGGAGTTGCTAACTAATCCCGTGCGCATTTCCAGACTCAACAGTCAGCCCCTAAGGAGCTGGTCCAAAGGGGCTCTCACACTGACAGTGTTCCCTGCGCTGGGGAAGTCTGCCTCGCCGCACGCCTCTCTCGGCCCTGGTATTGGCTAGCTTCCGGATTTTTGGCTCACCTGATGGGCGCACATAGTTGGATGTTTTAATGTGAGGCTGCGCAGCTTTTCTACTGCTGGCCAGCCATTTGGAAATGAATCCTTCCTCCTGAGACAATCTTGTTGGAGTCGTTGCCCATTTCTGCCGGGGTTTTTTCCTTACTGATGCAGGGGAGGGTATCACATGTCCCAGATACTTACTTGCTTTGTATACATGTAAACGGAGCAAATACGTGTGCTGCGTACCTTTAAAAAAAAAGAGATTTTATTAATTTATTTGAGAGTGAGAGCACAAGCAGGGGGGGAGGAGCAGAGGAAGAGGGAGAAGCAGGCTCCCCCCTGAGCAGGGAGCCTGATGCGGGCCTCCATCCCAGGACCCTGGGATCATGACCTGAGCCCAAGGCAGATGCTTAACCAACTGAGCGACCCGGGTGCCCTATGTGCTCTGTTTCTTTTGAACTCTTTCAAGGTATCTCATAGGATTGGTATTTCAGATCCGAGATGGTCAAATTATTAACATTGTTTCATGACTTTGCTGATTTCTCCTATTGAGGAGGGCTGTCCCAGCTTTAAGGTCAGGAAGATGTTCTCCTACATTTTTAGCTAATAACTGTCACATTTAGTGGTGGGGTGTGTGTATTTTGCAGATATATAACTTCCAGATGCCTTTGGAGGTAGGTCTTTAACATGTCATCTCCCTTTTCTGTTTTTTGGCCTGTTCAGATTTTTCTTTCTTCCTGGGCCAGTTTTGCTAATAAATGTTTTCCTAGAAAAGTGTCTATTTCATTAAGGTTTTCAGATGTGGGGTATTAAGTCCTTCCTGATCATAGTTTTTAATCTCTTGGTTATGCCCTCTCTTTAATTTCAATGTTGTTTATTTGTGTCTTTTATTTTTTCCTTGCCGCTTTTTGCTAAAGGACTATTTTATTAGTCTTTTCAAAACACCAGCACTTGGGTTTGTCCTATTTTTTGGTTTGTTTTCTGTTTCCCTAACCTCTTGCTTTTATTTTCTTTCCTCTTATTTTCTTTGGCTTTATTCTGTTGTTCTTTTTCTGTTTCAAAAGTGGACAGTTTGGTTCACTTATTTGTAAATCCTTGTTTTCGTATAAATGCAGCAGGGGAATGCATGTCTCCCCGAGAATGCCTCACACCGTGTCCCACAGGTTTCCATAGGCAGCACTGACATTTCCATCAAGTTCTAAATACTTCACAAATTCTGTTAGCTCCTCTCTGCACCACCCAGAACGGCCCTTGATTTTGCTGCAGCAGAACTCATCAGTCTTGTCTGTTATGATTAGTACTTTCGTGTCTTTTTCAAAATGTATTTCCCTGCCCCAAAGGCATGACCATATGGAATGCTCCGTCCGGTTATTTTCTAGAAGTGCTACTGTTTTGCCTTTCACCTTCAGATCTGCAGCTGGATTCATTTTTGTTTATGGCATGAGGGAGGAGGGCTCATTTTATTTTTTATCATATAGATCTCCAGTCAGTCTGTGGTTTCATCCAGTGCTCTGCAGGGCTCCTTTTTGGAAAATCAGTGTCCATACATGCTTGAATCTGTTTGGGGCTCTGTGATGTTGTGATTTCATAATAAGAAATGTGTATTTGGGGGACACCTGGGTGGCTCAGTCGGTGAAGTGTCTGCCTTCAGCTCAGGTCATGATCTTGGGGTCCTGGGATCAAGCCCCTGTTGGGCTCCCTGCTCAGTGGGGAACCTGCTTCTCCCTCTGCCCCTCCCCCTCCCCTTCTCGCTCGCTCTCTCTCTTCTCTCAAATAAATAAATAAAATCTTTAAAAAGAAAAGAAATGTATATTTGGCCTTCATTTCTGGCACAGCGCTCCTAAACCCTTGGAATTTCCTAAGTGATAAGAGCCAAAAAGGTGTCTTTTATTAATTATAATAAGCCCCTTTCAGCCACACCAGGGTTTATGTCAGGGAGAGGGACTTCCCAGACTTTTGGAAAGACCCTAAGCATGGGGGCTGGTTTGACCTGGAACCAACCTTGTTGAGAGGGTTGGAACTTTTGGGACCAGGCCCCCCACCTCCTGGGAGGGGAAAGGGACTGACACTGAGTTCATCACCATGGGCCAATGATTTAATCAACCATGCCTATTCACTGAAGCCTCTGTACAAATTCTGACCTCCGGGGCTGGGAGAGCTTCGGGGTTGGTGAGCCCATGGAGGTGCTGGGAGGGGGCACACCTCCCCCCCCCACCCCTCCCCTCCAGAGAGCTCATGGAACCTCCACCCCCCCTTCCCACATCCTCTGCCCTGTGCATCTCTTCCATCTGGCTGTTCCTGACTATAGACTTTTATAATTATAAATCTCGTGCCCATCCAGTCCTGCCTTGGTGTTTGCTTCTTGGAAGGCAAGAACCAACACACCGTGCACAGATTTAGATTTTATATCATCTGAGTGATATTCTGTAGTTCTCCATACAGACATCCTGCACACCTGCTGTTAGATTTACCCCAGTAGGTGAAGGACACGTGTAAGTGGCATCTCCGATGGGCTCGATATGGCTGCACGTTCTCTTCCCCTCCTCCCAACAAAGGATGGAGTGTAGTACCCACCTCTCTGGGCTGACTGGTGGAATATGGCCAAAGTCGCTGTGCTGGGACTTGTGAGTCTAGGTCTCAGGAGGTCGCGCAGCTTCTGCCCCTGCCCTTGTGGCCCCCTCTGCTGAGAGCACCGTGCTGTAAAGAAGGATAGAGGACAATGTGGAGAGAGGTGGCCCGACGTCGGCCACCTGCCCCAGCCCCACGGCAGACCCAGCGAGGGAGCCCAGCGAGGCCAGCAGAAAGAAGCACCCAGCCACCCTCCAGAGTCATGAGAAACAATGAGTTGTGGGTCTGTTTAAGATACTGAGTGTTTTAAGTGGTTTATTATGGGGCAAATGATAACGACTCTGGCGTTTGTTTTCAAATTTCACTTTCTGTTTGTTGCTGGTACCGTGGTTTTGTATATCGACCCTACATCTATCAACTACTAATTAACCTGCACATTCTTTGGGATTTTCTGTGTAACTCATCAGCTGCGAATAATGGCAATTTTATTTCCTCCTTTTCTAAATCCTCACATCCTGCATTGACTTTCCCTTCCTTACCTCACTGGCCGAGACTTCCAAAGCAATGCCGAGTAAGTGTCCTCGCAGAGTCCCGGCCTTGCCCCGGGTCTCCAGAGAGAGCTTTCCACACTTCACCTGGAGTTACGTGCTTGTTGTCAGTTTTTCCGCACGTGGACTTTATTAAGCAAGGGAACGCCTTGCCAATAGGAGGTTTACCAAGACTCTTCCATCCTGAATGGACATTGGGTCTCATCAAACACGTTCACTGTAAGTCCCTGTTAATGTGATAAAACACATTGACCTTACGATGTTATCCAGGCCTGTCTTCCCACAATAAACCCACTTTGCTCGTGACACGTCCTCTTCCCTCCTACTGTGGGCTTCACAGGCTGATGCGGATTTTCCCTCCTCTGTTTGAGCGAGGGACCGGCCCGCACTCCCCCCTCCCACAGTGCTCTCCCAGGTGCTGCCGTCAACATTATGATCATCTGAAACAAGGTGGGGAATATGCCCTCTTCTCTTTTCTGGGAGAGTCTGTGCAAGATTAAGCTTGCTTGTCCACAAACATTTGGTAAAAGTTTACTCATAAAACAATCTGAGCCCACAAGTTGATACTGTTAAAAGCTTTTTAATTACAGAGTCTATTCGATTCTTTTCAGATCTTCCCTTTCTTCCTGCATCACTATCGGGAGTTGGGTTTTTTGGAAACAGGAAAGTGCTCATTTCATCTCATCTTCCAGATGCGTTACCATAAAGTTGTCCCTCAAATTCACGTCCTGTTTTCCGTGTCTACAGCATCTGGAGTGATGTTTCTTTTGTTTCTCTTCCTATTTCATTGTTTTTTCCTGTTATCTTTGTTGTTTCCTTCCTCTTACTTTCTTTGGGTTAATTTGATGGTCTTTCCCTAAGTTCTTGAAGTGAACGCCCGTTTCATTGATTTTCAGCCCTTCTTCGTCTCTGATACTTGAGCGAAGGTAACACATTAAACATGGCTTTAGGGGCGCCTGGGTGGCTCAGGTGGTTAAGCGCCTGCCTTCGGCTCAGGTCATGATCCCAGGGTCCTGGGATCGAGTCCCGCATCAGGCTCCCTGCTAGGCGGGGAGCCTGCTTCTCCCTCTGCCTCTGCGTCTCTCTCTCTCTCTCTGACTTTCATGAATAAATAAATAAAACATTTAAAAAATAAAAATAAATAAATAAATAAATAAACATGGCTTTAGTATAGCCCACAGGTTTTGGTACATCGTGGGGTTTTTTTTTTTTTTTTCATTTTAATTAATTTCAAAATATATTCTAACTTTCTTGTGATTTGTTTTTTAATCTATGGGTTATTTCAAAGTATATTTCCTAACTCCCAAACATAGGGGGGTGCCCTAATGTGCTTTTTTGTCATGGATTTTTAGCATCACTGAATTATATATTTGAGTATATAACTGAATATATGCAGAGAAACTACTCTGTATGATTCAGTCCTTCGAAAGTAGAACTTGCTGTATGGCTAAAACCAGGTGAATTTTTAAAAATAGGCCATGTGCACCTGAAAACGTGTATTTTGCAGTTGGTGTTCTAAAAATGACCATTAAGTTAGATTTTCTTATCATATTTCTCAAATCCTCTATTTACTGATTTTTTTAAGAATATGATTCTAAGGGCACCTGGGTGGCTCAGTCATTTGAGCGTCCAACTCCTGATTTGGGCTCAGGTCATGATCTCAGGGTCATGGGATCGAGCCCCAGTCCGGCTCTGCGCTAAGCACAGAGTCTGCTTGAGATCCTCTCACTCTCCCTCTCCCTCTGCCCATTCCCATGCTTGCACATGCACTCTCTCTAGAATAAATAACTAAATCTTAAAAAAAAAAAAAAAGAATGTGATTATTCTATCAGTTACTGAGAGAGGTGTGTTAACATTTCCCACTATGATTCTGCATTTGTTTTTTCCTGTTCATTTGCCTTTACGTATTTAGAGGCTGTGTTATTAGGTACGTGTAGACTTTAAATTTACCTTCTCTCTTCCTGGTGAATTGACTGAGCAATCATCGTGAAATGACCACCTTT